GAAGGCTTCGACTTTGAAACGGGTATTCAAATGCTTTTCAATACTTTCTACTAATTAAACAAAAATATAAAAGTCTTTATTTGTCAGGAAATGACATAAACTCTGCAAATAAGAAACTAAAAGCCGACGCAATCGTGTCTTTGGCCAGACAGTGGAACAAAGACTTCGGGGACACGAATCAAGTTCTCATGACTTTTGGCGATGACTTCAAATACAATAACGCGGAACACTATTTCGCTAATTTAGACAAATTAGTGGATGCGGTCCATGAGTTTTATCCGGACGTCAATATCCTTTACTCCAATCCTATGTGTTATTTATGGGCTGTTCACCAATTGAACCGTACGTTTGAATTTAGGGAAAGGGATTACTTTCCTTATTGGTCCGGATTCTTCTCCAGCAGACCATCGCTTAAACGTCAGGAGAGGTCGACAAATAATTTGTTACAAATCGCCAAACAATTGGATGCTATGACTAGAATCCCAGAAACGGAACCATTCCTAGAAGAGGGTCGCAATGAAGTGGCGGTTATGACACATCACGACGCTATTACCGGCACTTCCCCTCAGATCACAGTCAATGACTACATTTTAAGACTTTTCAGCGCATCCGCGGCTTTGAATGAAGTCATCGACAGAATGTATAGAAAATTAGTACCAAAACAAGAATCAGACCAATCATTTCCAAACCAAATATTCTGCGATAGACTTAATATAAGTGAATGTTATGTTTCCGAGACATCCAATGAATTCACTTTAATTGTCTTCAATCCTATCGGAAGACCTGTCAGTCAATGGCTAAGAATCCCAATCCCTTCAAATAACAATTATGAAGTTTCTGATAGCATTGGAAACAAAGTGACAGACATACATGTTGTTCCCATATCTGAGAGAGTACTGCAAATTCCTGGGAGAAATAGTTCTGCAAAATATGAACTTCTATTTAAAGCAAATCTCGAAAAACTAGGATTTGTTACATATTTTATTAAAAAGACAAGTAAGAGATCCTTATATCTTATAGAAAACGATATCCTTATTTGATTTAACAGGTTTACTATGAATATTTTATGAATTTATTTTCAGACAAACCATTATATTCTAACTCATCTGTAAAAAAGAATAAAGAATCAAATGTTGAGTTTAAAGGAAAGGGATTTACTGTAAGTATAGACCAAAAGACTGGAAACATTGAGGCCATCAAACTTGCGAACGGAAATGAGTTTCCTTTGAGACAATCGTTTAAATTTTATAAATCAAATCAAGACTCCGCTTATGAGTTCTGTACTGAAGGACAAGTAAACGATATAAACAGAGATAGTGTTAAATTAGAGGCAATTTATAGCAATGGATCGGTTCAAGAGGTCAAACAGCAGTGGAATGACTGGATATCACAGACTATTCGTGTTTATGAAGATGAAGAATACGTTGAAATGGAGTGGACTGTAGGACCCATTCCTATCAATGACAATATTGGCAAAGAAGTTATTACTAGATTTGATACTAATCTTCAAACTAACCAAGAATTTTATACCGACGCTAACGGACGACAAAATGTAATATTAAAACACAAAATCATTTTAAACTTCAATTATTTGAGTTATGATTGACTTTTAGATGAAAAGAATTAGAGGAACACAACAAAGAAGTTGCGGACTATTCAAAGAAACTGTTTCTGATAACTATTATCCAATATATGAGCGAATCTATGTTCAAGACATACAGAAAGACATGCAGTTAACAGTTGTGACGGATAGGGCTCAGGGAGGCTCGAGTGAAGTTGACGGACAGATAGAGCTTATGATTCATAGGAGACTCTTAGCGAGTCTCCTAATCTTAACGAGACGGGTGTCGACGGAAAAGGACTGGTTGTCAGCGGAAAACATTTCATATTTTTCAAACCCATCAATGAATCGGCAAAACTGTACCGCGATTTGAATCAAAGACTATTTATGTCGCCTTTGCTAACATTCTCGCCGTTAACTCAAACACAAACAGAGTATCGAAACAAATACAAGACATCCTATTCTGCACTGAATACAGATTTGCCACCAAATGTCCATTTGTTAACATTAGAGAAGTGGACCCAAAATGAACTTCTCGTCCGTTTGGAGCACTTCTACCAAATTGGAGACAAAACCGATTTGTCCAAAGCAGTGGAAATTGATTTGCAGAATATGTTTAAAGATATTAAAATTAAAAACATTACAGAAATGACTTTAAGTGCAAACCAAGAACTCTCGGTATCACAACAGAATCGATTCAAATGGAAATCACAAAGAAATTCAAGTCATAATCATTTCACTTACAGTCAGCCCTCCAATGATGTCTCGAAGATTCAATTGAGTCCACAACAGATCCGAACATTCATTATGACCATTGAGGACAACACTAAGAGAGGTATTAATAATATAATATTCTTGCATTACATCTTTACAGTCAGCCTTCCAATGATGTCTCGAAGATTCAATTGAGTCCACAACAGATCCGAACATTCATTATGACCATTGAGGACAACACTAAGAGAGGTATTAATAATATAATATTCTTGCATTACATCACTCCTTAGTATTTATTAGGAATTAATAGAAATATTCTTTCAAATCAGTCAACTGTTCCCTACAATGGGAGTCCATAACTGGCACTAAAATACCTGAAAATGCAATCATCGGTGGCTTTGATATCGACTCAAAACCTCTGTATATTTGCCGCCATAAACAGGACCAAGATATTATTCCGGGAAAAGCAAATGAAAACATCGGATGTGTGGTAACGAAAGGAGGGAAAACCTACTCAATTAAATCGGGTTATGAAGTACTTCAGGGACACGACTACGATTGGGTGGAAAGGCATGGCGGCGATGCTGTACCCGATCGGGCCTTCGTTGCCGGTCATGACTCGAACTCAAACCCCATATTTGTGGGCAAATGTGACCTACATTTCGGTCAAAATGAGACTCAAGTGGTCGGTAAAATTCACCACAAGTTTTACTACGGATGGGGAGATGTTGAGCGCTCAGACTGTCTCAACCATATGGTTATGGTTTGCTAGTTATGCCGACCCATCCTAATCCTATTTTCTTTCAATAATTGGTCGGTAAAATTCACCACAAGTTTTACTACGGATGGGGAGATGTTGAGCGCTCAGACTGTCTCAACCATATGGTTATGGTTTGCTAGTTATGCCGACCCATCCTAATCCTATTTTCTTTCAATAATTTGCTGCATTTTATCCAAAATTCAATTCTCGTTGTATTTCTATCTCTTTAATACCATTGCCTTAAAGTTTTATGAATTTCTAAAATAAATTAATTAATTTTAAATTAAATAAATTGTGTTTTAATAAATGTTTGATGACAATCAACTGGGTTTGAAATTACTAAATGTAAGCACATTTGTAATTCTCTTTAATACCTTTAATACGATTTTAACACAAGGGACAACAATTGTAATTTTATTTAAATATTATACTATTATATAGATCCGGGTATACGTATAAATTATATTTGTGTGATACTGTATAAATAAATGCCAAACGAATTTATGTTTCAGAAATAATTTAGTTTTTTGAAACAATACAATACATCATTTGTTTTGTATTTTTTATATCAACTTAATTTTGTGAATATAACACAATTAAAATGTTTGAGATTAATATTATTTAAGATTAGATAACTAATTGAATACTGTATAACACTAGATACTCATAAAATGACTCGGTTTGTAAATGAAATATATTTTATAATTTAAAAATAGTTCATTATATTATTTATATGTTGTGATTCATTAATAATGAAATTTATTTGAGTGAATTAAAGTTATTTTGTGTACAGTACCATGAAACATGTTATAAAATGTTATAAATTAATTTCATAATGTCTTATGTTTAATTTAATTTATATTTGTGATTCATTAATAATGAAATTTATTTGAGTGAATTAAAGTTATTTTGTGTACAGTACCATGAAACATGTTATAAAATGTTATAAATTAATTTCATAATGTCTTATGTTTAATTTAATTTATAATGTGATTGCTTGTCTTTGACATTATTATGTAAATATTACACTTATTACATTGTAATCTAAAAACTTATGTAAATAATTAGTTATTCATAAAATAATAAAACTTAAAGGAAAGACATTTATAATTTGACTAATTTCTTAAAGCTCAATATGTACAGTACAAAATAGTATACTAAATAATTAATTTTATATTATATTTACAGAGATATTTTCATCCCTTTAATAACTTCAATATACAGTATATACTTAATATTTTTAGGACATTTTAAGCACTAAATACCGATATGAGTTCAAGTACACTGTATTTCACTGCTATATCATGGGATATATTTAGTAAATTATCAAGATAATAAATATATCTGTTGAAAGATTTCCAATGATGTATTGAAGATTTTTTAGTTAAGCCTTTTATAAAAATATAGTCATTTGCTTAACCGTAAGCAACTTTATAAATGTAATAACTATAAAATCTTTAATACATTATTGGAAATCTTTCAACAGATATAGTTCTTGTTAATCAAAATAAAATATACGATTATTATTATTATTATTAAAATACATGTATGAGTTCTAAATTGATAAATACTACAAAAATTCATTTTAAATCAATTAACACTAATAATGGGTTTAATTTTATGGAATTTTTTCTCAAATCAAAACATCTAGGACTTTGATTATATGTTTTCAATGATTACAGATCCGTTCAAGCACATTTAGTATTTCTCATGAGATTTACAAAATATGATTTTTAAAAACATATAAATTGGAAACCAATACAAACACTGAATACTGGATACAATATTTTATATTTCAAATTCATTTCTTATAATTTATATATAAGAGTATTTCAAATATAAATTATGATTCATAAATATTTCGTTATTTTGATTTTAAGTCTATTTATATCAATCAACGAAATCACAGGAGAATGTGGTTATAAGTCGTGTACAGAAACAGATCCAAAGAAGTTAAATATTCATATCATAGCTCACAGTCACGATGACGTGGGATGGGTTAAGACAGTGGATGGCTATTATTTCGATGAGGTCGAGCCCATCCTCACTAATGTAGTCAATTCTCTGGACAAGAATCCAAAGCGAAAGTTTACAGAAGTAGAGATCTATTACTTCAACAGATGGTGGTCTGAGCAGAACAATGAGACCAGAGATTTGGTCCACAAATTGGTCAGTTCGGGTCAATTGAGTTTTGCAAACGGAGGCTATACTGTCAATGACGAGGGATCGGCTCATTATAATGAGATCATCGATCAGATGACACTCGGACTTAGAATTCTGGATAAAATATTCGGTAAATGCGGTCATCCGTTGATTTCGTGGCAAATCGATCCTTTCGGGGCGTCTAAAGAAATGGCAGCACTTTATGCACAAATGGGTTTCGATGGACACGTCTTCAACAGAGGAGTCATCCCTAAAGGGGAGTTTGTTTGGGGAGGAAGTGCTGACTTGGGATCAAATGCCGATATCTTCACCACAATTCTTCACAACCATTACAGCGCTCCCGAAGGCTTCGACTTTGAAACGGGTATTCAAATGCTTTTCAATACTTTCTACTAATTAAACAAAAATATAAAAGTCTTTATTTGTCAGGAAATGACATAAACTCTGCAAATAAGAAACTAAAAGCCGA